AGGCGATAAAGAGGCACAAACAACTCCCTTTTACGTCTAGCCTCACCAAACAATCTCATTGCTTTTACGTGGGGAGTTCACTCGTCGCGGCGTTAAGGATCCGGCATATTCGTGCTAGTGACGTCGGTCTTTGTGTTTGCGTTCTCTTATGCGTATCAGAACCGTGTGTTTTTCGGTAGTCATATTTAATGGCTCTATTCAGTGTCACCGAGCGCAACAGGGAGAAAGATCTATACTTGTCAGTTTAAAAGGCTGCGAGTGTGTTCTCTGTAAACCATGGTCGCATGCGCGGCAACGATTTGCTAATGAAGATGTGTTAACACGTTGTTTGTTACCTCGTGTGATGCAGTAAACACTAACATGATACAATACGTGCCTCCATGATAACGCCCGCAAATGCCAGGTGGTGCTCACGTATAGTGTCTAAAACGAGAATGAGAAAGAGAGAGAGAGAAATAGAAAATAAGCAGAAAGGCGGGGAGGTTAAAACATAATAGCGCTTTCGTTGTCTTTCGGAATCGGGATGGGCAGTGCCATGGTCCCAACACTCTCTCGACCATGCAACCACTTCTGTATAGTTGATTCACAACACTGCGCAGGTGAAGCCTTTCGTTTGTGTATACCGGGCAGTAACATAAAGAGGTGTCCAATAGTATCATCGACGGCACAGTCGTTGCACTCCGTGCTGTCGGCCATCCCAATCTTAAATGAATAGGCATTGGTGGAGGCTACGCCCAGGCGCAGATGGCATAACACTGTATTTTCCTCCCTAAACAGACCAGAGGTTAACCGCAGTCGTAGAGATGAGTCGAGAGAATACAGTCGATGGGGTGCAAACTGCGATGACCGCCACTTCTGGAGTGTCATGTTCTGCGTCAGCTTGTTTAGGTATCTAGCCGCGTAAATTCTAGATAAAGGTACGGAAACAGAGTTTGTTTGTACGTGTGCATTTCTGGCTGCTTCATCGGCGAGGTTGTTGCCGGAGATACCGCAGTGACTTGGTATCCACTGGAACACAACGTTGTGTCATTGTTAGGTCGCATAGTGCATAATTTCTCCGAACTCCTGCACCAGTTGTTGGTACGACCCATGACAAAGTGCCAACAAAAGACATTGTAGAGCCGCATTGGAGTCGCAGAATACTGCACATTTATTAGCCGGTTGTTGCTTGATATAATCGATGGCGCCTCGCCGGGCAACAATTTCCGAACCAGTCGATGTGCTCACATGACAAAGTTTGTAAGTGATGTTGATGTGTCGCGATGGGATTATGGTGGCGCCGGTGGATCTATAGTCTGGGTGGTAGAGCCATCCGTGTGCGCGTGAATTCTATCGGCGTAGAAGGTGTGCTAACAGTCCAGAGTTGCTTGCTTGAAGGCCAAGGTTGAAAGGACTTTTCTATTTCTTACTCCTGGGACGGAAAGGCGTGCGTCGGGTTATCGTGGGCTCCACAAGGCGGACGGTGAAAGCGCAAAGGGTATAAAACCGGATGGTGGCAAAGCGCGGTAGGAGCTGACGACTTTATAGAATGACGCCTGCGGTCGTTGTTCTGGCAGAAATGCCGAATGACTCGATACTATCCGTGAAATGTGCCGAATATGTGCTCTCAGCACGTCGGTTGTGACGTAGGTCGTAACCGGATGATCCCGAGCCAATGTAACTGTTCCAGCGGTTGAGGTACTTCGTGGTAGGCCGAGACAAACACGTATAGTGCCTGCGCTTGCACGCTCTGAAGTGCTCGAATGTTTGACTTGCCAGTTTTAGTAAGTAGAGGAGAACAGTAGCGCACTACACCAATAAAAAGTGCTTGGTATAGCTGTATACCATGGAACTCAACGACGGACACATCTTTTTCCAGCGATGACTTTCAGAACGTGGGCAATAGATACCAGTTTCGCTTTCAAGCTTGTCACGTGAGGTCTCCAGGAGAGGTCGTGGTCAACAATGACACCTAGAAAACGATGGCTACGCTTGTAAGAGATAGGATGGCCATTAATGCTTATCGGGTAACTTGTCATCGCCTTGCGCATGAAAGCCACCAGTGTACATTTTTTTGTAGAGATTGTTAGACCTTGCGTGCCAAGATAGCCAGATGCTTGCGACGCTGCGCTCTGTATCCTTGCTCGAACTTGTAGGCGTGTCACGCTGATTCCTAGACACAGATGTCATCAGCGTATATTTAAACACTGACTGTTTCAGGGAGAGCTTCCACCAGGCCAAGCAAGGCAAGGTTGAAAAGAACTGGGCTTACTAAACGCCACCTTGCGGGACGCCATGGCACGTGTAGTGGTCTGAGGTCGGGTCATCTTCAGTATATACAAAAAATCGTCTTCGTGTCAGGTAGCTTCGGATCCATGGAAACATTCGTCCTCCCAGTTCAATTAGCAGTAGTGCGTCTAGTATAGCTTGATGGGAAACGTTGTCATATGCACCTTTCACACTAAGAAAGAGTGCAAGTGCTAGTCGTTTCCTGAATTTATGCTGTTGCACTGATGACATCAAATCGATCACGTTGTCAATCGATGAACGGCCTCGTCGAAATCCCGCCATGGAGTTGAGATAAATCTTGTGACGTTCAAGAAACCATTCCAGGCGCGTGAACATCATGGGCTCCTTGAGTTTCCCAACGCAGCTGGCGAGAGCTATACAGGCCGGTATGATGTCAGCACCAGAGGGGATTTTCCTGCTTTTAGAAGTTACACAAGATGGAGGTGTTTTCATTCTTGAGGTACGACGCCATTTTCCCATGATCGATTAAATAAAATTAGCAGTTGTCGTCTAGCTGCTTGGCCTAAGTAACGCAGAGCCGTACACGTTATCCCATCGGGGCGTGGTGAAGAAGAACGCCTACACAATGTTAGTGCAACTTCTAGCTCTTCCATAGAAAAGGAAGCACCCATACTTGTATCTCGTGGACCGGGGATATTGAATAGAAGCATATCGGAGAATAGGACTGTCCCGCCGAAGATTTTCGGGCAAAAATTCCCCAAATAACGTGGATTTTACGGTGGTTTAGACGAAGTGCTAGAGCCTTGAAGGGACGACGTTGCATGGCGCCTGAGCAAAGACCCTGTAGAGTTCTCTATACATCAGACAATGGCTTGCGTGGGTCTAATGACTCGCAAAAGCTTTTCCGTCTTTGATCCTGAAGATTAAATTGTCTATATGGCGTTGTATTTTTTTTTTTGCATACGCCTTGCTACTCTAAGATCAAGAATCGGCTTAGTACGCCTGTATCTTCTCTAAGTACGTCTGCGCAACACCCGAAGCCTTTCCAATTCGATATCAAGTTCCGTGCGCTTCTGCAAGTGTGTGAAGCTAGGTGTACAATTTTTCATTGCATCTGCGATTACTTCTTGTAACCCACACGAGAAATCATTGCTTCACGTGTCCTCTACTTCTTCATAAAGTGTACAGTCCATATACCGATTGACGGGTGAGGACGAAGTCTCTTGGCCATCAATGCCGACATAAGTCGAAATGTGATCGCTACCACGGGTTTTGATATATGTAAACCACCGCATTTTTGAACTTAGGCAACACGACACCAGTGTCAGGTCGAGGCAACTGCTGTACGTCGTTCCTGGCAGGTATGTCGGGCTACCATCGCTCAGAAGGCGCAGGTGGTGGTCTGACACAAACAATACCAGTGAGCGCCCCTTCGAGTTTATCCTTAAGCTTCCCCATATCAGATGATGTGAATTCAAATCACCTGTTATAATGCAAGGGCCTGGAATAGCTGCCATAATGTGTGTTAATCTCTTACAATCAAGTGGACTTGCAGGGGATATACATGCGCCAATAAGTGTAAAAGACAACCGATTATTTTTCAGAGTAATGCACACGTGCTGGTTCTCGTCAAATGGCGGTATAGCATGGGCAAAATAAGTAAGGTCCTTGCGAATGTAAACCATAACTTTGCTGCTCCTTCCATTCGTGATGGAAACGAAAGACTCGTATACTGAAAATCTTATAGTCGATGAATTCCGCTCACAGATTACCATTATTGGGAAGCGGTTTTTAAACACGAACTGCCGGAAATGCAATATCCGGGACCTCAGGCCTCTCACATTGCATTGAAACATGAAGGAGTTTCGGATATACTCTGCAAACGATAGCTGTTGCCGTTGGCAAGCCATGGTTCTGCTGTTAATCTTGTTAAGCAATTCACTTCTGAAGGCTTGCTAGAACCGGGCTGATGATATCCAACAGCTGCAACGTGCTTCATGCTATTGGTGCTAGCACCCTCTCCACGAACACACGAATGGTACTCACGAGGGAGCAGACCATGGCGACCATTTGTTTATCCTTCTCTGTTGGTTTAGAGAGTTCGGATGAGGAGTGCTTCAGTGCAGAAATCTGATGGCACTTTCTAATGGCGTGTAGTCGAGAATGTTCGGCCCAGGCGTGGCTGTTGGCGGCTTCTTTATCCTTCGACCCGACTACGCTTCTTCTGGTAAACAGAAGTGGAGGCGACTTTGAGCGCGGTTCACGAGGCAGCAGTGTCTTGGAGGTCTTGGAAGGTCATCGATGACGCGACCGTCGTCGTCTTATAGATGCGGCCGCTTTCCTGTGAGACGAGTGATCTCGAACCATTTCTTCAGCACCGCCATTTCTCTTCGAATATTCGGACAGTCTTTCGAAGATGCATCATGAGGCCCTTCACAATTCAAACACTTCCGAATATTGGACTGGCATGTGTTAGTGGTGTGGTGCCAAGTGCATCGGGCACAAACAGTGGTGTTCTTGCACACACTGCTTACGTGACCCAACTTCGTACATTTCCTGCACTGAAGTGGCCTCGGTACAAAGGGACGAACAGCGGGCCGAAAGTTTCCTGCTTTCACGCGTGACGGGAGGGTTTCACCGTTGAACACGATGTTCACGCAACGTGACGTGCCGAGACGAAAATCACTTGTGATGATGGTGTCTTTTGTAGCACGCTTTATCAGAACTGGCAAGCCTGCGTCGACAATGGTTTCGTCAACATCGTAGATTACCCCGTTGATGACTTCTTTGCCGAGCGGTATTTGAGGACGGACTGCCGTGCCATTGAGCTCTGTGACCTTGCGCAATATATCCAGCGCAGCTGCGTGGTTGACATCAGTGGCTATAACATTCTTGCGCGTGATTACTCTGATGTCTTTGATTTCGTTTGGCACCAGTACCTCCAGCTGTGCAGACATGACTTCCCTGTTGAGGCGCCTCATATTGTCAGTGGCGAGAACTGACATGAACAGGACGGTGAATGCCTCGATACTACGCGAATGTCTTATGGTGGACGCACTCGACTCGGATGGCGTGCTCAGAAACCGCCTCTTAGTTTTGCGGCTCTTAACCAGCTCAAAGTTGTAGTCACCGGACTCTTCACTGCTGACATAACAGTTCATGGTATCGTCACTGTCAGTATCCCTCCCGGCGCCGTTGCGCTTCCTGGAGGCGGCTTCTGCGTTATTTGTGGGGTCTGGCGGACGCCTGTGCGGCTCCATTTCCGTAGCACGCCGGCAGGATCCCGCACTTGACTGGTCAAAACAATGTTATCCACAAAAAAAAATAGAAAAACTAAATAACTCGCCGTTCTGTCAGAGAGACACTTCTTCTCCCCAAAGCGAGAATGCATGCTACAGTACGTGTACCAGATAATTGACGGAGGTGATTGTTATATGCTTATTTGGAAATAATGTGGGCTCAGATTGCCCGAAATACAAAGCTTACCTCTGGTGCTCATGTTGGCGCTCGCAGCTCAACAACCCTGATGGGGGCATATCTGTCGACATCGAGAAAAAAATTGCGATTTAAGCTATTCTTTGTTTCATTAATATTTCCTTTCGTTTGATGGCAAATCTGGATTGCAAGTCTCGAAATATCTGATATAAAATTCCGAAAGAGGAGATGAACTAATAAGCGAAGGAAGGATGACTGCCATTGGTTGACCCGCAATGATAAATGGGTAGAGTTTATTGCAATATGAGTGTTATAACAGATAAGATTAATGTGTGCCATGCGTAGTCATTCAGAAACGGTCATCGTTCAGTTCTTCACATACAAGCGGGTCGAGTGGGCTACTTTCAGGAAAATCAAGCTGTAAGTTGACCTTTTTTAACACTTTACATTTCCTCAATGCTTCTAGTATAAAATATAATAGAACCATACTCTTCTCTAGAGGTTGATGTCAGATGTGGGACATAAGTTTAAAATTTTGTGGAAACGGTCCACTGTGTTCTGCATTGTATGTCTATACACGGACAAGCGGGAATCAAACGAATATTGTCGAGCCATGCACTGCATCGCATTTGCGACAAAACAAGATGGCTGTTAGTGTTACTGCAACTGTAATACAGTCGCTGACCCGTGACGTCAAGAGCGCATGCAGTTTGCGTAAGGATCGACATTCCTGTATAACGCCATCAATCTTGCACTCTGCGTAGCAGCTCAAGTAATAAATAATTGCGTGCTATTTGGAGCCACCACAGGGTGAAGCTGATTAGGCCCCGTAGTTTGAGGTGATTTCACGGGTTCAGTGGCACAGCAACACTTTTTTAGCTTTTTGCCTGTCTGAAACAGCATGAACGCACGAGTGCGAACACCTCCTTCTTTCTGCATTGATTCTGTCACTTGAACTAAACTGCATAGAATCTAGGTATGTGCATTTTCGCTGTGCTTGTCCCACGTATGTACGTCAGAAGATAAAGACCCCATTGTACACGTAAAAGATAATAATCATTTTACGTAGAGTGTTAATGAGCGTCATATATACGCTATATTAGAGATGCGCACTTGTGTTGCAGAGGGTTTCTTGGAACATTTTGAGTTGTACAAGCCGATGTCTATTCTGACGTCTATAAATCCCGTGATAGAGGTACGAGTTCGTCTTGACAATGCAAATTTTACGCTGGCGTAGTTTGCAAAACTGTGTGCTAACTGTTCGTAGAATTCAACATATTCACGAAGAGACGGCAAGCCCATAAACCAATGCAGCTAAGTGACTACATAACCTTAGGGGATAAGGTACTAAGAGAAGCTCTGCCACTTGGAGCTTATGCATTCATAGACGCACATGAAACACCGACCTTTGCATTGACTTAACATGTTCTTGAGCATTTTTGCGACGGACGTGGCTTAGGTAAAATACCGCAAGCACTATAACCTAATGCGTAGTTTTTTATTGTACTCTATTTTGAATGGCGACTAGACATGACCCTTCTAGAAGAAATAAAAAGGGAGTGAGGAAGAACCACAGATTGAGAAGTCAGCCACACTGATTGAGTAATCAGTATACGATATTCATTTATCACGTTCGTTCTTTCTTTTTTCTCCGTTGGTGCAAGGTTGGCGTTTTAAGGCGATTGTAAGCGTGTTATCCGGAAGCAGCCTTGCAATTTTGCGGGTTGCTTTTTAAGTAAGTGCTCAGAACACTGTTTGTAAAAAGAGCGAGCATTGAGGAGGAGAACGGGTGACTAATGGCTAAATAGAGCCGAAAGGGTGCGCAGAGCGAAAATGGCGAGGCCCGCGTGATTCATGCGTCCTGATTTCGAACAACGTCTGCTGCGCCCGCAGAAAAGTTGAGCCCATACTCAGCAACTCCATAGTATTTGCGTTACACTTCTCTCAGCAACGATTCTTTCTTGCTCGGTCCCCCCCCCCCCCCCTTGTTTTTTGTTTCTCGACGCGAAAGATGAAGAAAAGGAAAAAAAAAGAGAACCTTTTTTGACACCCCCAAAAAGAGCTTGCAGGCCTTGACGCCAGCTTTCTTCACGTTTTCGCGCAATTCTAGAGGTGTTCTTTCTTTCTTTTTTTGTTCATGCTTTCCTACTAACTCTGCTTCGGTCCTCCCCTAGTCACGGCCGATTCCTCCGGTATCCCCCTACCCCACCACACGCCACCCGTTCATGGCCCACACACACACCTCAGCCTGTGTGTGTGTAGCCCTTCTCGCTTGAGCTCACAACTTTGCCGCGGCCTCACAGCCGCCGGCAGGCAGGCGAGCCCGTGCCAAGGAGAGCACTCGCGGCTCCAAAGCACTCGTGCCTAGCTGGCCGCTGCGGCTCGAAAAGCAGCGAACCGGCCAGCGAGGCACGTTATAACGTATAGCTGCGCAGGCCGAATCCCAGATTACGCCATAATTTATAGCCGGAGAACCCAGGGACGCCCTGTTCTCCGCTCTTCCCTGCCCTCCCTGCCCTTCTCTCTTCTCCGCTCTAATCTTTCCTCTTTCTCACTCTATTTATTTGTCGTATATTTACCGCAGCGTACGTCTCTTATACGGTAGCGCCGTTTCTTTGACTAGCGCTCTTCTCCGGGGCGCAGGCCGCCGTCTCGTTTTCCCTTTTAATCCGTGCTGCCACAACAGGCGCTGCTCCCGTTTCCGGCCAGGCGCCGCGCGGATGGTGCAACTCCCCCCTCCCCCCCTCCCCCCCCATCGGCTCTTTTTCCCGGCCTGCCACCATGCACACAACACACACACTTACAAACACACAATCGTACCCTCCGCTTTCCTTTCTCCCCCTCCACTTTTGGGCTTTATATTGTATGTCAAATGGAGCCAGACAGTTTTGAGAGGCTCGCCGGCCAGTATACGGTCTGCTGATTGCATAATCGGTGGCGCATATAGGACGTGCGAATACAGCAATTTTCTTGGAGGGCGTATCACACGGCTTCAAGAACCGAGAAATAAGGGAGGAAAAAAAAAAACCAAAGAAGACATAAAAGCAATACATGTGTAGAACACATTTTCGAATCACTTTTGGCGCAGCCAGCGGTGGCGCGTTCATTTCGTTTCACGTTGCGCGATAGCCGGCGTGTCGTGGCCGGAACATTCAGGGCCTGTACATCGATCACTTTGGTCAGTCAGGCAAGCGGGTACTGCATGCGTGGTGTACTTATGAGCGCAATGCCACATTCGCTTCTAAATCAGAATCAAGACGCAGCCATCGAATACGTGAAACAGATAACGGGCTGCCACATATGAAAAAAAAAAGCGCCGTTGTTTTCTCCTCGAAATTTTGAGGATATCAGTTATGGAAATGCGGTGACGATCCCTGAAAAACTGCCGCATTTCATACTTTGTAGCTAGAAAAATGTTAACAAAGCAAGCCTTAGTGGAGAAACTCCGGACCGAGTTGGCTCCTTGGCGTCTCTTAACGAGCATATAAATGTATGTATAGGTGAGGGATCACTGCTCATCCCGATCCAAATTTGACAGCTACGCTCGTAATTAAACCTAGCGCCTATATAGCCGAGCTTCGCAACGTAGCCAGTAAGGTTAGCGCGGTGTGTAATGAAATTGCTAGAGTAAACGATATAGTTGATGTGTGCCGTCCGAGAATGCTAACACTGTTTTAGCTTGTGCAGTCGGGGACGGGGCATTGAGAAGTAAACAAGTGGGCTGCTATATCCACCAATCCAAGTGGGGATAATGATTGGGAATCGCCAATTCATCGAGTATTTGCGAACGCGTTTACCGTGACGCTTTGCTAGCCAGAAACACAATGTAGTTCTCAGTGAAGTTGGCTATAATATTTGCTCTAGACGCCTCAAATCACGATTACATCGCTTACCATTCGGGTTAGGAATGCTCAGAGAGTGCTTTGTTTTTCAGCCTTGAAGATTACTTGATGTGTGAGTGGTCAAGTTTGGTGAAATTAAGCGTTTAGTACGTAATGGCCATAAAAAAAAACAGCAAGGGACATTTCGTGTAAGTTATCCAAGATCGCAACCTCACGTCTATATAAATGTCGTCACAGCGGCACGCCGTAGACAACCGTCAACTATAGCTCTGAGGCGGCGGCGGCTGCATTTCCGATGGAGGCGGAAATGTTGTAGGCCCGTGTGCTCAGATTTGGGTGCACGTTAAAGAACCCCAGGTGGTCGAAATTTCCGGAGCCCTCCACTACGGCGTCTCTCATAATCATATGGTGGTTTTGGGACACGATCCGCATGAACCAAGAAGCACACAGAGAGCTATGCGGTGGCGTAAAAAATTATGAAAGAGCAAACGGGGATGCTGCTATCCAAAAAGCGAGGGCTCGTCCCTTCCTTCTGCGCTTGATTCACACAGGAATCGTGAGCCGCACGCACGTCGACGACAAACGAACGTGGCCGTTGTCTTCCGTCTAGCAGCGATTGAAGCGTAGGAAGGCAGCGATTGAACGCCCGAAAAGGAACAGCATATATTACAGGAAATGTTCACTGACCTGTTTCTGATGTTTGTGCGACCGCTTATACAACATCAAGGAGAGGTTGTATTCGTGACACATGCATAAGCTCCCAATTCTGCAATCTTCCGCGTATGCAACACCTTGTTTTGTTGTTTTCGTCGGAGGGTGAAGGCTTAATTTTTCTGTCTTGATAAATCAAATAGCAGAACTCCGTAGTTTCGTGCTCGCTGTCACGTGTTTCAATCATTACAGGATCGAAATGAGCTCGTTGTCAACGTGTTGTCTCTTAGTTTGCTTGCTGTCACTGAGGCAACCGGCGTTGTGGTGTACGT